GTATTGCAGTAGTGAGAGCTCGGTGTCCTGCTCAGGTACCCTCCTCCAGAAACACGATGTACTTGGGATTTCTGACCAGTAACCTAAAATTTGTGAGGATGTTTAAGGAACAATATGAAAGGAACACAGTGAGAGGAGCTGTCACTGATACAGTGGGGGTAAAACAAAGTCACCTAAACCCTTCAAAATATCCATGTGGCCCAAAACTCTGAGGCACTTGGGCTTTGATCTTAGCCTGACCCACTGACTGTCTGTGCCTGTGGGTGATGGATCCACTTCTGTCCCTGTGTCCACAAGGAAGGTGGATAAATATGCATGGACAAAAAACTGGCATCACTTAAAATCAGAGGAGTTTAACTCAAAGGACTCAAAGAGCTGTGAAAGCTGCTTGGGTTCTCCATTAAAGCAATCCTGCAAAAACCTGAAAGGAACTTTTTCCTCAAAATTTGAATTCTGTAATGCAGATCTTAGTGGCAGAGATCTGGAAATATAAAAAACAGGGTTTTTTTTGTGACTACCATGCTGGTTATCTGCAATTCCACGTGCAGGAGCAGCGTGCTGGTTTCCATGCTCGGTTCTCCTGCCTAAGCTGTGTTTCCTTGCTTCCCCTGTAACAAATGTTGTTGGAAGAACGGGACCTTGAAGAACAGTTATGCCAAACTAGCCCTAATTCAGCATGGAATTTAGCTGCATTCGAGACATCAGTCTTTTGTGTCTGTTGTCTTGCTAAGTTCTTCACAAATTATGATTTTCTTCAGCGTAATTATACAAGATGACTATTTCTCAAAACTTTAAATGATTTCTCTGATCTCCTCTGAGGGAACTTCCTGAGCTGCAGACAAAAACCAAATACATTTTTTGTCGTAGTCTTCAGCTTGGGTCTCTACAAAGGGAGCACTGTCTGCAGAACGCCACTGACTGTGCTTCTGCCGAGTCTGCAGAGCTGATAACAAAGCAAGATCATACAAATAAATAATAAATACTGGAAACTGAAGATAAAACATTCCAGATCTGTGCTGCTCCTGCTGCAAGCTGTGCTTTCAAGCTTTATTTTAAATGAAGAAATAACTTCTGACAGCATTTCATTACTACAGTTGTGGTCACTTTTTTAAAAATACTGGGGTTTTTTTTAGCACTCTTGGTGCACACAAGGTTTTCTGTATTTCATGAGTACCTGGGAGCCAGCTGGGATAAAATATTTTCACTCAGTTTGCTTGTGACTTGCTTAGCCTAGGGTACAGGTAGGATATCCAGTGTGCAAAATGGGTGAGGAAGGGACAGTAAAATTGATTTGGTAAGCACCAATACTGGAGCATTACAGGACTCATGTCCTCTGCTTAGAGCTTTTTTTCCTGAGGAAGCATGACTTATTTTGTTTGTGTTTGTTTAATTTTCACTTTGATTTCCTTGTCAACACAGTCTTCTGGTTTGTGGAGTTCTGTGCCCTGTGCACTGAAAGAAACCAGGTCACACAGCATCGTGCAGGTTTTTTTACCTCCTGGGGAGGGAAATAGAGAGCCTTGCTGTCCTGATTCATGCACATCCTCCTGCTTAAGCAGCAGATTCAGATTACACGGGGGAGATAAGGTTGGGATGTGTCAGGGTTTTTAAATGACCAGTTCAGTACAGTATCAGTTGTATTCACAAGCTGATATTTCTCTCTGGACAGAGTCGAAATGGCTTTGACTGAAGCCCTCAGTGATCCATCACTGCAGCCCAGGTGGTCTCTGCAGGTGCAGACACAGGAGTCTGGTGGCAGAAATGTTGTGTCAGTGTGTCCTTTGAACAGCTAAGGTGACCTGGTGGTGGGGAGGAAGGAGGATATCAAATTTAAATTAAAAATATTTTTCTTGGGATTTTTTTTTTTTTATTACCAAACATACAATTCTTTTGCAAATACAACCTGCAGGTCTTACATTGGAGAAACCTTGACCAGGAAAGTGGTGTCAGCTGGTGGAAGGGGGTGTTGGTGGGGCCACAGAGCTGGGGAGGTGTTGAGGCAGGAGCTCTGTGCTCAGCAGCTGAAGGGTCAGGTTGCTGCCCATAACCTGACAAGACAAGGTAAACTACAGTGGATGTGGGAGGATTGGCAAAAAAATGTAGGCTTTACATACTAAATTACAGAATTGCTAGTGATGGAGCCAAGCCTGGTTATTTGCAACACTGGATAAAAAAGTTAAAAGCTGCTTTGATCAGAATTAATCCCTGCATTTATCAGTCCTTAGTTCTGCTGATAACTGGGGTCAGAAAAACCTACTTACAGTTCACCTCACCCTCTGTGGTTTGGCTTCTCTGGCCGAGTGCAACAGCGCGTTTCCTGAGCAAAGTGTTCTCCCTGGGTTGTGTCCCCAAAAACGGCCGCAGCTCGCTGTGGCTTCGAGGTGAGGAGCAGCCCGTGGAGAGCCCATTGTCTCAGCCTCACACTGCTGACACAGACACTCAGGCTGCTTTTCCATGTTCGTCCCTTTGGGTTCAAACAATCGTTAAAGCCACGGTCACAAGTGACGCGTTGAGTTGTCTCATCCTGGAAGTTGTGTTGTTGCAGGAGGTGAACAAAGGCTCAGTCAGGCTGTGCTGGTGCACGGTCCATGTGGTTGACATGAGATCCCGAGGCTGGAGTAATGTTGTGGTGCTGACCCAGCTTCACACACAGGTCCTTGGGATGTGGATGTTGTTAGGGCACGGTCTTGCTGTCCCCATTGTGTTCTTCACACAGGAATGTCTCTGTTTTACCCCAAAAATGGCTCATATGGGAAGATGGGCTCAAACTGGCTTTGAGATGAGGGGTGTAGGGACTGGGAATCAAGCATGCCAGGGTTTATGGATGTGCATGCATTTTGTTCCCTTTCTGTTGAATGGGAGCTCTTCTCTTGACAGTAATCAGTGATTCTTGAGGTGAGGGTACCTGTTTGGAGAGCGGGGAGTGAATTTAAACTGGGAATCAACAGAAGGGCTTGACTGCTTCCAGAAAGGAGCTAAAGCTTGCAGTGATAGAAGACATCCTATGTTGTCCATAGATTAAAGGCAGATCTTTCAGGGTATGAAGAGCAAGTCTGAAAATACATTGTTTGCTTTTGAATAAAAAAGTAAATAAACAGAAATTTCCATAAGACTTTAGCTCATAACTTCAACCTGGCGGTTGTCTGGTGGTCCTGGGTCCACCCAAAGCTGTGTCTCAGTGGATGAGATGAGCTGCATTTCTCAGTAACTCCTTCTGTCCTTTCTTTCTGTGACACTAAAATTTAAATGCATCTTCAGTGAAGAAAAGTGTTTTGAGCTTAGACTGGGAGTTGATATGGGGAGCACTGTGGGTGATTTTGTATCTGGAGTGTGGGTGTCAGAAATAAACAGCAGAACTTTCTGAATAGTGAAAGTTCAGGATGTGACCATGTTTCCTTTGAAAGTGGGCAGTTCTCAGTGCTTTAACAGGATATGATTTATAACCAGTAGTATTGTGCATTAATTGCATTGCTAATGATTAAAGGCCTCATCACCTCTGTTGTGAAGGCAGTGGGAATGTTTCCATTTGCTTTACTCTGCTCTTCAGGGAAGCTCAGATCTAAACTTTTGCTATGAAATGCTACCCATGGCAGCAAGAAATCCAGAAGACAAAGCTTTTAAAGTAATTAGGTGATATTCATTACACACGGTGGAATAAGTGAGAAACTGTTAAGGTGTCAAAGTTGATGTTTAGGTAGTCTCATTAAATACCTCTTCATTTTCTGATGGAACTTAAGGAATAATTCTCCTGAAGTATTTTTACATTTCAGGCTTTTTATGATAGCTAATTCTGGAGATTTCAAAATTCACATGGTCTGTGCTGCTCAAAATCTGCTCAGGTATTGGCAGGAAGCCTGTGCTGAGAGGCATCTGGTCAGAGTGACAGTGATGCATTGAGGGAATACTGTGTCCTTTACCTTGAGAGTGTTTTCACGTCAGCTTTAGGTTATATTCTGAGTATAGTCACCAAATAAAATTATAAATTATTCTCCCTGTATATAAAAAGTGGCAGAACCTGTTGGTTTACCAACTAAAATAGTTTTCTCTGAGTTTCTGTGAGGGATATGTGATCTCTTCTCTTACCCCAGATAGAATCTCAGAAAATGGTACTGCAAGCTTAATAATTTTTGAGGGCAAGGCTGTAGCAGTTACGTGACTGAAAATCCTCCCTGGAGGAGGCTGTGCTCTGCCTTGAGGAATCATCCTACAGCTCTTCCTGCGCTACCAGTGACCCAGTTTGCCCACGCAGATGGGTTGGATTTGTCAGAGAGGAGCACGGAAGGTGTGGAGCAGATGTTGTCGCTGCTCTGCACAGGAAAGGCTCCTCTCCTGTGCTGCTCCTCCCCACTAAAACCTGGAATTAAGTGTCTGCAAAGCTGCTGGAGGTGCAGCTGTTGGGTAGCAGCATGTTATTGTGGGAATTATGAGTTTTGCAGGCATCTCTTAGAACTTTGCTGGTATGGACAAAGCCACTTGAGGTTACTTCTGCTCCATGCTCTCTGCTTTGTTTCTCCATGCACCATCTGGAGAAGTTGCTGTTTGGTTCTTTCCCAAGGGATGCCATTTCCTTAAAAGTTCATGTGAATTAACTCTCTGGAAGTCTGCATTTCTGAGTGCACATTTGAGCTTTTGGGGAGGCCTAGAGGGAATGGAAGGGGGCTATGATGCTGAATAACTTGCAGGGAAGCTTTGGAAGGAGTAAATCCAGTTGTATGTGAATTGTTGGCCTGTTTTGGCTCCCCCTCCATATTTTGTGATCAATAGCTGTTAGTGCAAAACTGAGTGTGCTTAAGGAATCCTGCTTCCCACTAGTGAACTGCTGCTATTGAATTATTTTCTCTAACATATGGAGGTGCAAAAATGGTACTCAGATGCTTGTCATGCCAGAATTTTGTGGATGTTGTACCAATTGCTGGGTGTGCCATGTGAATGTCCTCATCTGTGCAGTAAAAAAGATCCTTTCAAGGTGTTCAGAAAAGAAAATCTTTAAAGCAGTTGAGCCATAGTCTGTGGTTGCACTCTCTGCCTGCCCTTGTTTGCGTATTTAATTATTCCTTCTTGTGTTTTTCAATCTAGAACGTGGTCCAAAACCATTCCTGGCAAGGTCGAATTCTTCTCCAGCGAGGGCTCGGACACCTCCATCCCCATCCCCATCGTGCCGCTTCCAGGTGTCGATGACTCCTACCCCCCCCAGAAGAAATCCTTCATGATGCTCAAATACATGCATGACCACTACTTGGACAAATACGAATGGTTCATGAGGGCTGACGACGACGTTTACATCAAAGGGGACAAACTGGAGAACTTCCTCAGGAGCCTGAACAGCAGCGAGCCGCTGTTCCTGGGGCAGACCGGCCTCGGCACCACGGAGGAGATGGGGAAGCTGGCGCTGGAGCCGGGCGAGAACTTCTGCATGGGGGGGCCAGGAGTGATCATGAGCCGGGAGGTGCTGCGGAGGATGGTGCCCCACATCGGCGAGTGCCTGCGGGAGATGTACACCACCCACGAGGACGTGGAAGTGGGACGCTGCGTGCGGAGGTTCGCGGGGGTGCAGTGCGTCTGGTCCTACGAGGTAAGGACGAGGGGAATGGGGAGATGGCTTTTGGGGGGAGGCAGAGAGAGGATTGCTGTTGTACACAGCAGTTCCTCCAGCCCTCACCTCCCTCTGCAGCATCACCATCCAAATGTGCGGTTTCTGCGCCTTTTGTTTCCTGCAAGCGTCGCCCTTGGAAAGACCTAGAAAAATTTGGAAATGCAGCAGTAAGGAGGGAAATGGAGGAACATTCATTATTCATAACAGATATTTTTATTTGGATAGAAAGGGAATAAGCTTAAATCAAAATGGCCTCGAGTGCCTGCAGTCCTGACTGTCCAAGCCTCTTTTATCTTCTTTAGCTGAGTACGCCATGGTGTCAGCATGGGAAATGGATGATACAATTACCGTGTTTCTTACTGCTGTTGAAAATGTGTGAGGCTGACAGATGTTTGCCCTGACAGTGACAGTTTTTCCCCAAACTGGAGATGTCTCATGGTGGCTGGCACTGTAACCCTGCATGCTGAGCTGCCTCCTGGCAGCCCAGATCTGCCGCTGCTCCGGGCACTCGCTGGCAGCCCCGTCCTGCAGGCGCCTGCTCAGCAGGTCCTTGACGTCAGCAGAGACAAGCCACCACTCTTACCGAAACTCGTGGTCTGCCCACACTGATGCGCCTGCAAATTTGGCATTTTGGGGGAGAAGAAATTAGAGAGCCTGGTTGTGGCAGAGTTTCCTGCTGCTGTTTGTTGTGAGCTGGCAGCTCCTCCCTGGGGTGACAGGGGCTTCTCCTGCCTGGGTGCGCTGGGCTCCTTGAAGTGAGTCCTGGCTGTGTACAGACTGTCTGATTGAAAACACCTCCTGGGCTTGACCTGCACTTTCACCAGGGCAAATGCTGGTGGGTCTGCCTTAGAAATATGGGAGAAGTTGAAAGCAGAAGAGAGGTTGAACAGTTTGTCTCTGCACACAAACATTTATGACCTGACGCAACTACATCCTTTTATGAGATGTGGTGAAGGGGGGGTTCTTCTGCCTGTGTGACAGGAGCTGTGGTCACAGTGACAGGGTGGTCACAGACAGTGACAGATACTGCTGCTGAGCCACTCTTTCACTGGCAAAGACTTGGGTTTAACTTTTGACACTCAGTTTCTGCCCCCAAAAGCTGCTGCTTTGTTTCATTTCACAGCTCAGCAACCGGGAAGCCTCTGAGGAAGGGGAAGGAGGTTTCCAGCTGCACTTATTAATTAATATCTTTTGTGCCTGGAGATTTTCTGGACTAACAGTGCCTCTCCACATTCCCTGCTTTCAGACCTGGAACTAGTTTATGTCTTGCCAGCATTGTGGTTTAGCCATTCGTAAAGAGTCAGTAACTTTTTCCACAGTTTTTAGCAGCATAAAATTTTTACTATAGACATTCAGAGTAGAAATAACTTCTGGTGTGAATGCCTGTACCATCTGGCATTTGATAAGTTACTGAAGGTCAGCATTTTGGTCCTATTGAAACTGGCAAAGAGCTCCTAAATTCAATATAACCAAATGTTGGGCTGAAATAGCCAACGATAGCCCACAAGTGCACTGGGAATGCTGTCTGACAGGAATAGATGGGGCTTTCTCATAACCTGTTTTGTTTGATGAGCTTCTGTTATTATCCTTAATGCTGGATTCTCCTAAGTGCCATGAATTGCTTAAAATTGGTTTGTGTGAAGTGTATAAACTGTTGGGTGTTCAGAAGTAACCCGTGAGTGTGGGATGTTGAGGCTCAGCTGTTTGGGAGAGTAGGAAGAGTTTCAATGACAGAAGGACACAGCTTCTGCAAGATGTAGGTCCACTCTCAGTTAGTTGTGGCTTTTCAGTTTAAATACCTGTCATCTTTTTTGATCTGGTCCTCTCATTGCCCAGATGAAATGTGTCTGGTGTTTTATTTCAGATAAAGCACTAGCTGTGTGAAAAAACACAGCTGTCGCAACAGCTGTGTTAGGAAGGCTTGGTGTAAAAACGACATTTTCCATGTCTTGTATGTTCATGAACATCAAGTAACAGGCCACTGTAAGTGAATTGCAAAATGTTGTGTTTCACTGAGCTTCTGATAGAGCAAAAAGTTTATCTGTGTCTGCTGTGCTGGGGCACAGCCACCACATCCTTCACAATTTCCATTGGAAGAAAAGCTGTGACAGCACAAGGCTCAGCAGACAGAGCAGTGTTGGCCTTAGAAATCCCAAACCTCAGACTTCTCCTTTGCAGCCTGCACTTCCCATTCTAAAAAGGCTCAAGTGGCAGCACGAGCAAGGAGCTCAGGTCCCTGCTGTCAGCCCCCAGCTCTCTGGGTTTCCTTCTCAGCATCTCAGGCGTGGAGTGCCCTCACCTCACTGCGGGTGGCTTTTCCCTGCACTGTTCTTGTGGTGGGCTCCCTGCCCAGAATCATTTTACTCATCTCCATGACTGTCACTGCCCCCTTTCTCTGATTTTAGGATCCCACAATGTCTTTACTGTGCTGCTCATCTTCCCTGGCCCTGGCTCTGGTGGTGTGCCCGAATGCATCACCAGGCCTGGCTCTGTGTGGCTTTTCTGCTCGCAGCAGTCTGTCTCAAAACCTCTTTTTTCCCCCCTTCCTGTGTTTCTGTCACTCCTCTGCTCTCTGCAGTGCCTCTCAGACCACTTCATCAGAGTGGCACCGGTTATTGCCCATTTCAAGACTTGTGAGGATTTGTTCACACTGTTCCTGCCATCAGGAGCTTTTCAGCAGAGACAGCAGAGGAACTGACACCACCATTCTTTGGACTTCCTGTGTCATCTCAGCCCAGAAGAGCAGCAGCAGCGTGTGCAGGCTTGAGGACAACTGCAGCTCTCTGGGCTCTGGGGAGCTCTGACCCATCCAGGCTTTGGGAGCACTTTGCAGCCCACAATGGATTTTAAGCTCCTGTGACCAGGCTAGGAGCTGTTCCCTTGTCTGACACAAGGTTGAGTGAGTCACAGATGAGACATGGCTGTTAAATGTAAGTTCTTTAGGGCAAGGATTATCATCACTGTAAAAACAAAAACCAGACTGGTGCTGCTGTTTGACAAATAACTATAAAATTCAGTGTTCTATAGGGTGGAGCATCTGAAGCCAGAGAGTTTATGCAGCAAATGATAAGAAAACAGTCATGAAAAGAATAGAGCTGTGAAATCTCAGAAGCTTCCAGAAGGATGCTTGAGAGGTTATGAAGAAAAACAGAGTGTAGTCCTTTTTCTTGAGGAGAGCTGAAGGCTTGGAGTGAACTTTCTCAGAACTGGTTCTGCATTTCTAGTGAATATTGGTATTTTAGACTTCTGGCACATTGCTGGGTGTTATTTCAGACTTCAGTCTCCTTCTTTCTTCCCTTTCCTCCCACCAGTAGTTCTTCCAGTCCATCTCATGTGGATCACAGGGACATGGAAGTTCTGTTTTCTCCTACACTGCTATGTGGTGCCACGCAGGGTCTTGGATTTCAGCCTGAGAACATGTTCTGGTTTTGATGGCAAGCTCTTTCATTTGTGATTTAAACCATCCCAAAATTATTGTTGATTCTCAGTATTGTGTCTATATTTCCTTTAAATGCACCTGAATTACAAAGTCATCACTCTGTAGCTTGGTGTTGTTTCAGCCTTGTTTTGCAGCTGTTGCTGCATGATTTCCTAATTTGTGGTTAACAGCTTCACAACTTTATTACAGGCTCTTTGTAGCTGCTAGAAGTCAAGGCAGTGCTGATATATCTCATTAATTTTTTCAGTATTAAAACCCTTCTGACACATGCTGCTTTCAGGTGATACCAGTTCCTTCCTGTGTGTCCTACAGTGCAATAGAAACAGGTGGATCCAGTCTTTTGCTACCTCTGACAGGTATAAATGACCAGTTTTGTCTGTCTTATCTCCTGTTCTGACTGAGGTTGTGAGAGAAATAAGGTGAGAGGCAGCAAGTGACAGGATTTTTTACACTATACTTGGAAAAGAAGATGTGACGAGGGCAGTGATCACACCAAGAAAGGTGAGGAAGAGCAGGTCCAACTTTTTGGGTGTTGGTGAGGGGGAAAATGGAAAATTAGAAATCCCAAACCTGGTGAGCAGGGATAGCAGGGGGCTTTGGGAGAAGGGGGTTTGAATTAACATTTTGTGTGGTCTTTCATCTGGAGTAATTGAAGATAATTGCTACTGAAGTTAAGAAAGCCCTTAAAGTGCACGTTATATCTGCCAAGTACACTGGCAGTGCCAGAACGTAGCATTTCTGGGATGGATGTTCCCAAGGGCAAAACTGAACTTTATGTTTTCTCTAGGTCAGCTGGGGGGAAAAAAAAACTTTAAAAAATTACTCCTGCAGTGATTGATCAGTTCTGAATGACTGGAAAGAGGTGCTGTTAATGGCAAATCTCCAGTTCCTTTGCTTTATCCTTTGTGGAAACCTTTTCTTATTAAAAAAAAAAAGGAGATTGATCCTGTTGTGGCTGGGTGGTGAGTGACACCCAGCACAGAGTGTGCTCCCAGGGCAGTGCAGGGTGGGGTTTGTGAGGATGTGCTGGGTGTTCTGGAGCACCTCTGTCCTCTGCAGACACCGGGACAGTGGGCTTGGACTGTGGGCTTTGGTTGTTCTTGCTCTGTGAACCTTTCCCTCGACTCCCAGCCAGCAAATGAAAGATTTGTCTTGTCTTTGTGGTAGGAGCTTCCAGCAGCACTCCTGAAATGAGACATTATTATGTGTCTGTATTGTCCTGGCTTCAAAGCTTGGACGTTTTCTGAAGTCAGAGCATGGAAACTTGGCAAACCCTGACAGCACAGACACCTTATCTCGCTGTGGGAGCAGCCCACTGCATCTCTTCATTTCCAGAAACCTGTGATGTGAATTGTGTGTGTGAGAGAGAGGGAGGATACAAGCATGCCCAGAGTTTTAGGGTGGATGTTTATGTACTATCTTTCCTCCAGCACTAAATTTTATCTTTGGAACGCCTCAGAGATGTCTTTTTGGCTTTGGATTAAGATGTAAGTGGGTGGCCATGCATTCTGGGGATGGATGGAGATTGAGCTCCCTGAAGGTAATGAGGAATGGCATTTTATCAAAGCACAGACAGGTAAGACTAGAGAAGAGCATTATCTGGGCAAGGGAGGTGATGCATGGGGCACAGGGTGAGACTGAAATACATGACTGATGTGACAGGGAGTCCATGACAGCAGTGGGGGAGGCAGCGTGGTATGACCACTGTGGTCTAATTTTAGTATTTGCTGAGGAGGAGGGCACAGAGGTCAGGGGAGAGAGTAAAGGCTGCAGACTGGGTTTGTGAAACCCAGGTGTGGGTTGGGAGGATTTGGAAGGTTTGGAACGGGAAAAAGGTCTCAGGTCCACAGCCAGGTCCTGACCTGGCTTTTTCACTTCAGAAAATAACTGAGTGTTTGACAACCAGATATTCCAAAGAGGGAAAACTTGACATTACTGAGTGTTTTCCTACTGACTTCTGAATGCAGGTTGGTCAAGGTTTATTCTGTGTTGTAGAAATGAAGAGCAAGTGTTTTAACAAAACTTGAGTCTGGGTTCCACTCACTTTGTGCAGAATATCCTTTTCAGAGAGGAGGGCTGGGGGGTTTGTGCTGAAACAGAGAGGCCTTTCCAGGCTGTAGAGCCTGTTTGGGACTGACCTAGTTTTTGTGAGCACATGGTTAATCTGTCCTTAGTTAGCTGGATGACTTGACCTAATGCCTAAGCTGAGGGTTGCTGAAATGAGGACTTTGATGGTGTCGTGCAGACTCTTAGGAAGCTTCAGCCATGAATCCAGCAAACACAAGTATCGCTTTTCCCCCATTACTGTTGTCTTGGAGTGCAGTGATTTTGTTACAAATTAGGATCTGTTCAGCCTGTTGAGTTCAGGGAGACATCAAGATTACTTGTTATCTTGAGGAGAAGTCAGGAAAGGCTAATCTTTCATAGCATGACAGGACAAAGAACTCTAATAAAATAGCTCATCATGCCAGTTTCTTCATTAAGGCACTCAGAAGATAGCTGAGGATTTGAGGTTGTT